GGGGGGGGGGGGGGGGGGGGAGGGGGGTGGTTTCTCCCCGGCGGGGGGGGGGGGGGGGGGGGATGGATCCATGACTCATCAGGGGAGGGGGGGCAGCTCCCACCACTGCCACCCTGGGAGGGCATGTGGGGGGCATGTGCCCCCAAATCAGGGTGGGATGGGTAGGCTGTAGGCTGGAGCCAGGGCTGTGCTGGGCTCTACTTGGCGGAGGCTGGGCAGGGGAGGCGGGCTGCAGCCATCCCAAATTTTGCTATGGTCCCATTCCCAATGCCACTGCTGCTCACCTGGCACAACCCCAGCTTAACCCCCACCTCCCCCTACATTCCAGGAAGAGCTGGGGTGGTGGCAGTGCTGGGAGCATGGCTACAGTGAAATTTAGGGTGGCTGCATCCCTCTCCATAGCTCCACTCCCAGCACCACTGCCACCTGCTCCGAGGCCAGCCCCTGCTGAGAGGATCCTGGCACAGCCCTGACTCCAACCCACAGCTGCAGCCTGCCTGCCCCAATCTGGGGACACCCCCACCCTGTGACCTTCCAGGGTGGCAGTGGCTGGAGCCACCCCCTTGATGAGCTGCGGATCTGTCCCTCGTCCCACCCACCCCTGCCCCTTCCCTCCCTCGCTGTGGAGGGCATTGATACTCCTCCCCCACACCCCTTCCCTCCCCTTCCACCACAACAGATTTACCAGCTGTATGCTGCTGGGCTCTGCTCCTTGCTGCCTGCATGCATGGGCATTTATTGGCCAAATCATTGGCCACATCAGACCGATTTGCGATACAGCCAATTTTCTTTATATTGGTACCAATCTGATATCGGACCAATGTATTGGTGCATCTCTAGTTCACGTAATTCAAAAAACAATACACATTTAAAAGTGGGGGAAATGAGAAAAACCTAATTTGGGCATCATTGAATTGAGTCTTCCCCTTTTATTCTCAAAACATATTTTTCAGTGGAGCAAAATTTATACTGGGGTTGGGTTTTATTGGTACTTGTACTAGCAATGACTCTTTATTATTAAGGTACTTATTGTAGCACAATAATGTGAAAAATCCTCTATCTGCAATTTGATATTAATCTGTGTAGTCTGTCAGTCTACAGAATTTTAAATCCATCAGTAAACTAATGAGCTTTTGGGAGTACTAATGTTACATTTTTTCCTCCTGGTGGAAAGAGATGAACAAATAGAAATGGTTACGTTTAGTGTCAAAGACCTTCATATCTTTTGGTGATCTTTTTATAAATGATAAATGTGATCTTCCCATTGTATTAGTATTGTAGACTGGGTTTTCTTTTTTTCATTTGGAGAATGGTAGCTTG